AAAAAAAAAAAAACCTCAGAGAAAAGCATCTTTCTCAGCTGCTTCCTTTGCCGGCAGGGTTGCTTACCATTGAAAGGGTTGTCTCCCCCAAAGAACTCATGGAAAACCTTGTCAGGGTTTCCGTGGAAGATATAGCCAGTTGTCCACGGAGTCTGGGCTCCGAACTCCAGAGGAATCCCGCCCTTCAGGCCCTCTTCTCCAAACTTGTCATAGATGCCTCTCTTCACAGCTGTGGATATGCAGAAGCTTGAGGAGGGGTCCAGCCTTGGGAGCTAAGAGAGACACGGACAGACTGGGGGCCGGGGGGCCTGGGGAAGGGGGACGGGGCAAAAGAAGCCTTGTTTCCAAAGTGCCTGCCTGCTGCCTGGCAGTCTCTGAATTGAGATCCTAGAAGTTAAGAGGTTGGTACCATTCTTGTGGACCTTGGGATGACTGCCAGAGCCAGAAAAGAGAGGAGAAAGGGAATTTGCTGGGGTGACGGTGGGGATTAGAGGAGGAAGGGAGAGTAAGGGTCAAGTTGAGGATTGAGAGCTGGTTTAACTCAGCCATCACAGCTATTGTCTCATGGGGGTAGGTAATCCGAATCCTAGAGTTTTGAAATTTTAGAATCTAAGAATTCTGAGCTCTGCAGGTTCAAACTCCTAGAGTCTGAGGACCCCAAAGACCTGAAAATTCGGGACTAGAGAAGCTTTAGTGATTGCCACACCACCGCACTGCGTCCACAGTCAGTCTCCAGGACAAGCCCTGGGAGCCGTGAGGGTGCTGCCTGTGTGGGGGTCGCCCACACTTGCTCTACGCTCTGGCTTGCGCAGCAGACATTTCTCGATGATTCCTGGCCTCTCTCTGCCTTTTTATGTCCCTGCTTTTCTTGGGAACCTGAGGACTTGGCTACTCAGCCTGGGAAGGTAAAGGGGCACTGCTCTGTGTCAAGTGCCTGCCCTTGGTAGCTGGCGTCTCTGCTCCTTGGGGAATGTGCCCTGCTCCTTCCAGCACCACTCTGACTGCTGAGCCTAATCCTGGGCTCTGCACACTGTGGCTGCTGAGAAAGACATTTGCAGGCGGACCTGGTGGCCAATGCCCGTGATCACAGCTACTGGAAGTTTGCGTATCACAAGTTCAAGGCCAGTCTGGGTAATTTAATGAGACCCTGTCTCAAAGTAAACTTGAAAAAAGAAAAAAGCTGAGGCTGTAGTTCAGTGCTAAAGCACTTGCCTATCACTAGGGTTAATCTCCAGCACGAAAAAGAAAGGCAGGGAAGGAAAAACAATTATTTACTCTGGCTTTTTTTATCCTGTACTGGGGATTGAACCCAGGGCCTTGTGCATGCTAGCAAAGTACTCTACCACTGAGCCACATCCCCACCCCCTTTCTCTAGCTCCTGAACTTGGAGGACAATGGTTGCACTCTCCTGGACCCCTCAGAAAATCTACCATTCTAGAGACTTGAGAGACAGTCTTCGTGGAAGAGTGGGAGACAGAGTTCTGTGCCCAGACCCACAGCCACTCACGATCGCTCAGCACATCATAGGCCTCTGCTATTTGTCTGAACGTCTCCGCGGCAAATGGCTCTTGTGACTTCAGTGGGTGGTTCTTCAGGGCAAGTTTCCGGTACCTATAGGAGGGAAGGTTAATGGGAGTCATAGCAACAGACTTTGGGGGGGGGGAGTTGATCAAGGTTCAGAGCAGGCACTGTCATCTACCTCGCTATCAGTCAGGGGTGACTATACAGGCTATGGTGGCTGCCCAGGTACTGTGCTCAGATCGCCCTAAAGCGGACCTGGTGCGTGGAGCATAGGTGGCTAACAACCCCCAGGGGCTGCCCTCGGGCGTTTGTTCTGAGGACTCTGAAGTCCTGAAACAAGGCTAAAGAGAACTATCTAGCTACTTTCCCAAGTTGCCCTGGCCAACCCCTAAATGTGGCAGAAGATCAGTGATGACCCACTCCTGTGAGGTGTGGGACTCCTTTCAACAGGCAGCCTGGGTTTAGGGCCTCCCAGCCTGGCTGAGTGTCTGGGGCCACACTGCAGCTATCCCCATTCAGGCCTCCCCCTCCATCTCCCTCCACAGGTATCAGGCCTGCCTTGCAGCTGAAGCTCCCCCTTGGTCTCTCACAGGGGCTCCCCATATATTTTGTGCACATCTAATGTGTCTTGGTGTCTGCTTCTTAGAGGACCGGAACTGGCATGTGCTTCTCAGGAGGAGATAAAGCCAGGTGTACAGAGAGGCTCTCGAAGAGGTCTGTCATGTCCTGGCACTGTCACCTTCCTCTGTGCTCATTTCCTCTCACTTCTGGGCCTGCCAATCCCCCACCCCCACCCCAACCTGGGCTCCTGCAGCACCTGAGGATAGGAATCAAAGCACTGGCACAGACTGGATGATTTATGGAAAGTTGGATAAAGGGACCTTCACAAAGATTGTAGACAGGGACAAGAAGACACAGAGACAGCACAGTACCCAGAGCTAGAAACCTGGAGGCCTTGGGAACCCCTATGCCCATGGGAGTGAGCAAGGGATTGTTACTGAAACCCAGGAGAGGACAGGGCCTTTGGCAGGAGCTGCAACCTTCAGCCGGGGGACACGGGCAGTTTGAAGAGACCACATAGGAAGAGAACTTGGGAATTAAGAGACAAACCTCATTTTTCTACCGCCCAACCTGCTACCCTGCCGACTTCAGCTGGATGTGCCAGGAAGCCTACTGGTGCCTTTGTTTTGAGCTGTCATTGCACTGGCTGACAAGGAAGGGAGGGTATCTGGAAGGGCATAGGAGGGGGTCTGGTCCAGACTTCCAGGCCACTCGGTGCCAGTGTGACCTTGCATTCCCCATGCTGGGCCCGAGCAAGCTTTCTTCTAGTCCCACCCTCCATGTGGGTGTCCCCAGGGCTCCTTTGCTTCTCTTCACTTTGTAGAGACCATTTCAAATGTTTAAAAAAAAAAAAAATTAACTTATGCTAACACTACACAAGGATGAAACTGGAAAGCCCACCCTGCTTCCACAGTTAGAAAATTGCCAAACTTAACGAGCCTTATCATTCCAGTGCCAGCCGCAAGGTAAGTGCAGCTCAACCAGGGGTGTATCCTGTTACGTTTTGCTTGCTTGCGAGTTTTCCAGAGACGTAGCATCTCAAGGACAGCTGGGCTCCGTCCTAAACAATGAGTTATTCTTGCAGCTCACCACAGCCCACACTTCCTTGTTAGACTATAGTAGCCCCAATTAACTTGCATAAGATAATCTTGCCTAGCAATGAATGACAAGACATGTGCAATCAACTGCAGAATAGCCTGCTACCTGCCTTTTGTACTTCCTTCCGACAACCTATACAGTGACTATAAACCGCCACGATGAGGCTGGTGATGTGGACTTCTCGTCCCCTAGCCTGCTACCGTAATAATAATAAAAGCTGTGTGCCTCCCAAAGTTCCTTCATGCCACGTCCTCCCTCTGGCCTGATCTCAAGCTCCGCAACAACTTCACTCACAGTTTAGGGGGGATGTCATGCTGCGGATTTATCTCAAACCAGACAGTGTCCCTGAGCCAACTTAACCTGCTTGCTAGCTCCTTGCCGGCGTCCCACGCAGACCACAGACCCAGGGAGGCTAAATATCAGCACATTTTCATGGCCTCATCCTCTCACCCCGGGCACTGCAGCCAGGCAGCTGGGCATTCTCTTTAACTCCAGTTCTCCTTTGTGCCCTCTCTGTCCATGCCATAAGCTATCGAGTCATGTCAGGTTTTCCTTCTATGTGTCTGTTCTGCTGCTTCATTCCTGTGACTATCGCAGAACCATATTGCCTGTGTCCAGAAGCTCCCTCTCCCACCTGTTCACCGTGTGTTTTGTCACCAGGCTGGAACTCGGCCTCTGTCTCTTTTGTAAAACACTCCAACCAAGTCACTCTCCTGCTGAAACCCTTCATGCTGGTGCTGATTTTCTGGTTCCTTCATACCCACCACTTCCTGTGATATCCACCACTCTGCAGCCCCTCCCAAATCCTCCTGGCATTTTTTATTATTATTATTATTATTATTATTCAGCCTTCGACTTGGGGCTTGGGGACCAATTACCCAGTTGAGGGCACCTCCCCTGACAATCAGCCTCCATTTGAGGGTAGACGCCTACTCAAGTCCCCTTTGATCCTGGAACTCAGCACCCCAGACTGTTGACTGGTTGTCCCTCCCAAAAGACTTTGAAGTCCTTGGGTGGCTTCACGCAGTTCTCTGTGTCCCCAGTGCCTAGCACCAAGCAGCAGTGACTACGTGATGTGAGCTCACTGTCCCACCAGGCAGTCCTTCTCATTGAGACTGAGTTCCAGCAATTCTGAGCTGGGTCTGCTGTCCTTGTCATTGTCCTTTCCTTTCATTCATAAAGGTCCTGGAGGGGCTTGCGGGTTAGCTCACTTGTTTAAAGTGCTTGCTTGAGGAAACTCTGAGGCACAGGGGACCATGGTTCAATCTCGAGCACCACAAGGTACACCAGACCCGCCTTTAAGGCAGCCTAAGCTAGCCAAAAACAAAAATAAAAACAAAACAAAAAAATCCTTCTCATAAACGTCCTGGATCTGCCCTTGGGGCCTTACAGGGACAATCTTTCCAGTCTACTTTCAGAGCCTGAAGACAACCATCATAGCCTGTCTGGGACTTCTATGGCAGTTATTCTCAATTCCAAAGATCCTAATTAGTTTTGAGGAGAATCACTGGTAAATTCAATCAATAAATAAAATAACAACATTGGAATCTGGGTATCATGGAGCACACCTATAATCCCAGCTACTCAGGATGCTGAGACAGAAGAACCCTAAGTCTGAGGTCAGCCATGGCAATTTAGATCCTGCCTCAAAATAAAGCATTAAAGGTGTAGCTCGGTGGTGGAGTGCCCCTTGGGCTTGACCCTCAGTACTGAACACACACACTAAGCAACAAAGTTGGAGAAGAGTGAGACTTTTCATATAAAATTACATAATTACAAGATTAATTCCAGTTCATTTCGTGCATGGCCATTGGGTTTGAGATTATCTCTCTCACTTTATTTGATGCTTCTAAAATCCTCTCTGGCCAAGCCACTGTCCTGCTGAAACCCTTGCTGTCTTCAATGTGAGATCCAAGCCCCTACTTCTCCCTCCGTGATGACCTCGATCTCACTGCCCGCTTTCCTGTGTGCCGGAGAAGGGCAAAGCCTCTCAGTTCAAGAACGAATGAGTGAGGCCAAGCCAATTGGATGCTGTGATGACTGTGAATCTTCGTGGTGCTTTCTGCATTCTACAAGCTCAGCATTTTTGTTGGGGTTTTATTTTGTTTTCTGGTCAAAGTCAAAGCACTCCCATGGGAGAGTTGCTCGTGAGATTCATTCCTTAAACAGTGGTTCTAGGGAGAAGAAGGAAGGGGTATCTTCAAAACATATGCAGGGTTTTTTCTTATTTGTTTGCTTGTGGGACTGAGGATTGACCCAGGGTGCTATGACTGAGCTACATCACAGCCCTTTTAATTTGTATTTCAGGACAGAGTTATACAGAGTTGCCAAGGCTGGGCTCAAACGTGTGATCCTCCTGCCTAGCCTTCCAAACAACCCAGATGACAGATGTGTGTCACTGTTCCCATCACTGAAGTTCTTTTAATCACCTCTTTGTATGACCTGATTTCATATATAAATCATTGTTGGGAATTTTTTTTGTGTGTGTGTGTGGAACCGGGGATTGAACTCAGGCCCTTGCGCTTGCCAGGGAAGCACATATTCCACTGAGCCATCTCCCCGGCCCTGATTGTTGGGAATTTTTACATGTATTATCTCATTATTCCTTTTCAAAGCCACAACAACCCCATCCCATTTTTTAGAGATAAAACCTGATGCTCAGAGAAGTTGAGTGACTTGCTTGTGTCAGTCCCACAACTAGCAGGTAGGAGAACCTGGCTCAGACCTTCCAGAGATGAGGCTGTGCTTGTCTGTCCCCAGCTGCTTCCTCTCCTGGAAGCCCTTCCCTTGGTGGCTTCTAGTGGCCAGACAGAGCCCTGGACAGTGGGTGACATCATGCACTGCCCTCTGATCTCCAATCGCACTGCCAACCTGGTACTTCTCCACGTTCTCCACGTACCCCACTTGGATCCCCTACCGTCCTTGACATACTATTGGCGTCTGCCTCTTGAAGTCTTTGTGAGAAATAAATGAAATCATGATGGAAGGTTCTCAAAACAGCACTGACATATTTAATTTATGTAGTTAGTGCACTCCACAACCTTAATTATCTTAGATACTTGCGTTTTTCTTTACCTTTCAATTAGCCAATTAATTGCCAAATTCATTCCCTCTCCTCTCTCCAGTCCCCTGAAGAGGCTCGGTCTTCCTTCCAGTCTGGTCTTCTGCCTTAATTACCAGGATTGCTTCCTCAGAGCTCTCTATCCTTCCAATAGAACTTCCCCAGCACTGTGTACCTGCCCTTTTGTAATGTTGCTCACAGTTGTGGTGACCTAATGAACACCTGTATTCATTCACAAAATTAAGCTGCACGAGGGAAGGAGACATATCTGATTCACAGTTATACCTCCAGCTGCCACCACCGTACCTAACCTAGATGGTCACTACTCCATAAATATTTGTTTTAAAATATTATTTCAAAGAAAATAGAAATCACATACATAATTTTTCTAGAAAAATATGACTTCTGTTCTAGACTTTAAAAATAGACCACAAAACTCCCGAGAGTTGAAAATATTCAGAGGTAAAGTTTAGCCAATGATAAAAATCCTTATAATAGCCAGAGTGGAATCTGTCATATATCCATCCACCTGGCCAGGTCATCTCCCTGTTCACTAGCCTCTGGCTCTCCATCATGTTCAAAATAAAGTTCACTTGCTTCTCTGACCCCCCTTTTTTTTTTTTTTTTTTTTTTTTTTTTTTTTTTTTTTTTTTTTTTTTTTGGCGGAACTGGGGATTGAACTCAGATCCTTGCGTTTGCCAGTCAAGCACTTATCCTACTGAGCCATCTCTCCGGCCCCTCTGACCCCCTTTTGT